CAAAAAAAAAAAAAAAAAAAAAAAATCCCAGCATAGACATAAGAATGTGGGTAAGAAGCGCCAGCCCCACCTAAGGAAATTGTGACAACACGTGGCTGCTGGGAAGGAACAGAGACAGTCTCTTTCAAGCATGGGACTCTTAGTAGGTAACCAAGCGCTGGTGGATAGACTCACACTGAAGGACATTTGGAGACACAAATTAGACTCTATAGGCCATATGTATTCATACATATATATATATATATGTACATTAAGTGGGGGTGCAATAAGAGGAAGTGCAGATAGGGGAGGGGATCTAACTAAATCCCATCAAATTATATTTTATGAAAATCTCAAAAATTCAATAAAAACTTAAAAAACACTTTTAAAAAGGAAGAGCCAGGACTTCTTAGGAGATTGGCTAATTCTATGACTGGGACAGGGAAAATACCAAATGAGCCTGAAAAATTTTGTTCCATAAAGCTATGTCAAGAAAATGAAAAAAATAAGTTAAAAGGCCATAGGAGCCAAATTAAAGCAGCTTATTTACCCTGACCCTAACTAAATCTAAAACAAACTTAACTAAGTACTGATAGTAACCAATTATAGCCCATCAAGTAAGATAGGAATCAGTAGGATGGATGGATGGATGGATGGATGGATGGATGGATGGATGGATGGATGGGTGGATGGATGGGTAGATGATTTAGAAGAGTAACTATTTGAGAACAATGACAGTAATTAATTCAATCAAGAAACATTAATTGGTGCTTAAAATAGCACAAATTGACTGAAGAGGATTCAGACAGATATTTCTACACCAGTGTTCATCCTGTCTTATTCGCTGTGACTAAAAGCTGGAAACAGCTATCCAAATGCTCAAAAGCAGATAAACAGATGAATACTATTGCCTCAAACAGGAATATCATTCTGATAGATATTACACATGAAGAACCTTAAACCTATTGTGCTAAATGGCATAAGCCAGGCCTCAAAGAGCAAATACTATGATCCTACTTCCAAAGGTACTTAGGTCATTTCACCAAGGAAGAAGGTAGAGCAGCAGTCACTACGAGCTGGTAAGAGGAGGAAGATAGGAAAATTACAGTTTAATGGGTACAGTGTTTCTTTTTAGGATTATGAAAAGTTCTAAAAGTAGATAGTGAACACTGATTACCTGTATGTACTTAGTGCCAAGTAGTTACAACACTTAAAAATATCTTAAGGGAAAACTTTATTACATATATCATACCACAAAAATATATTAGGGAATGAAACATTTATATAATTTCAGTCCTCCCAACAGAATACTAATTAATTACAAAGATGGAAAATATAATTTTAAAATGGAAAAATCAGCTGGGCGTGATGGCGCAAGCCTTTAATCCCAGCACTTGGGAGGCAGAGGCAGGCGGATCTTTGTGAGTTTGAGGCCAGCCTGCTCTACATAGTGAGCTCCAGGACAGCTGGGGCTACAGGGAGACCCTGTCTCAAAAAGACAAAAAAAAAAAGGAAAAATCTAGCAAACACTACCATAACCTACTGATCAAAGTCAACACAGCAGTACTTTTGTGATATATTTCTACCAAAAGTGCATTACCTGGATCAATTCTAATTGAGGAACATTGTACTAAAACACCTGGCCTGTAAGCCTCAAGAGAGTCAAGATCATGACAGTTAATGCTGAAGAACTGTTCCAGATTAAAAGAAGTGAACTAACAACAAGTGAGTTGTATAGGCCAGAAATGCCTCCTTTTGCTCCAAATCGCATTACCAAGCAAGGATTCAAACTTGAATGTGGTCTGGGGATAAAGTCATAGAATGTGAAATGTTAATTCCCAATTTCTATGCTGGTTCTATGGGTTATGCAAGAGAATGTGTTTATAGGAAATACATAGCCTTGGAGGATGGGGAAATATCTGTAACTTTGAGATGGTTAAGGGAAAAAAATGTTCTTTGTACTATTTTGAAACTTCATTAAAAGTTGAAGTTGTTTCAGAATAAAAAAGGAATGTTTATATAAACAGTTTAAAAAGAAAAAGAAAACAAAAACCAGTACAGCAACAACAAAAATTAACCAAAAGAACTTGGGTGAAATGGTGATCGTGACTAAGAACTTGACCCCAAGTCTGGGATTGTGCTGGAAATTACCTGTCAAAGAAATAGGAACCATTTTCTCCTCAACAAGTTACAAAAACATTTTTCAAATTCAGGTGTTTCCTGTAGGTAAACTGAGAATAGTCTCAGTCCATTGTATATCAATTATAGTCTTTTAAAGTAGAAAAATAAGGGGCTAGGGAAGTGGTTCAGTTGGTAAAATGCTTGACATGTAAGCAGGAGGACCCGAGTTCAATCTGTAGTACCCACTTTAAAAAGCTGGCAGGGTGGTGCATGGTCGCCGGGGCTGGGGAGGTAAAGACAGGTGATCTCTAGGACCCACTGACCAATCAGTCTAACCTAATCACGTTTCCCCAGTGAAAGACCCTATCTCAAAATCAAGGTAGATGGCTCCCAAGGAACAACAGCTGAGATTGACTTCTGTCCTCCACAAACACGTGTACATATGCACATGTGTACATACAGGGACCTATACAACCCCCCACAAAAAGTAAGAAAATCATCTGATAGACTAGAATCATATAATTTTGAATTTAGAATGTGAAAACTAAAGAAATGACCAAACTGAATCTGAGAACAGTAGTAGAACCCGACCATTTTATTTTGAAAGATTTATGTTTTACAATCTTCATGTTTGCTGTCTTCTTGCCTTAGGGGATGCTGAACAGGAGCTTGGTCCCCCTCCATCTGTAGATGAGGCAGCAAACACACTCATGACTCGTCTGGGTTTCCTCCTTGGAGAGAAAGTCACGGAAGTTCAGGCAGGTGACCAATACAGCATGGAGGTTCAGGATGAAAATCAGGTGAGCTACTTACTATTGACTTGGTGAAATGGTGTGAATCAATTTTCTATACCAGGAAAAGAAAAATGGTATAATGTGTGAGTCTGTATTCATTTTCAGAAATCTCGTGAGTCTGTATTCATTTTCAGAAATCTCAATTGCTAAAATACATTTTGAGACTTAGAATATAATTAATTTTCCAAAACCACTCTGAAACACCTTTTAATTATATGTAAAAACCAAAAAAGAATGAATGAGTAAATAAACAAGCCACCCCATCAGCAGAATTGACATACTAGCACTGCACTAAGAAATTATAGAATGCACAGTTTCCAATTTTTTAATTTGCCAAATTAATGAAATGCTGACCCTAAAGCAGTTCTCAACAAATTTCAGAAGGTACAAATTACTTTTACCACAGTAGAATTAATTATAGCAAAGTGCTAGAGTTAAATCATTTAAAGATGAGTCTTTTGCATGAGTGTTCTATAGTGAATTTTTTTTTTCTTTTTTGGTCTTTTTGAGATAGGGTCTCCCTGTAGCTCCAGCTGCCTGGAACTCGCTCTGTAGACCAGGCTGGCCTCGAACTCACAGAGATCCGCCTGCCTCTGCCTCCCAAGTGCTGGGATTAAAGGTGTGCGCCACCATGTCCAGCTTATAGTGAAATATTTTATTCAGTGTTAGGAAGATGACTCAGCAGGTAAAAGGGTTTGCTACATAAGCATGAGGACATAAGTTTGGATCCCCATCACCCATGTAAAGAGTTGGGCATGACTGCACACATACCTGTAACCCCAGTGCTGTGGAGATTTAGGACAAGAGATTCACTGGGACTTACCTCCAGCCTAGCTCCAGGTTTAGTCAGAGACTCTGTCTCAAGGGAGTAAGGTGGAAAATGGTAGAGCAGGACAGCCAACATTCTCCTCTAGCCTACACGCACACACAGAGCACACAAAGAAATACTTTACTCAGAATATTATAAAATTACTTTCCAGTTGAAAATTCTTCAGTAATAAATGTTGGTGAAGATGCTGTGTCATGTCTTAGTTTGTCATAACAAAATTTACAAGGATAACTTCAATGTACTTATGCATATTGTGGATGATATTTATGTGTTCCAGAGCAGTATTCAGGTCTACATTTTTATCCTTACTCCTTATATTATTGATTCGCCTGGCTATACATTGTAATCACCCAGAGAATTTATTTATAAAGTTGAGGTACCTGATCACTCTTCTCTTACTGATTCTCGATTCTTACTTCTGTAAACACTGTCATTACTACAGAATTACACTTGATAAATATTTTCTCTATGAATAAATGTCCTCCTAATAGTAATACTCTACAACCCTTCTGGCCTCTTTGTTAGTCCCTGAACATGTAAACATTCACTTGCATTGATATGTTCTTCCCACAAACTCACCTGTTTCCATGTTTTCACCTCCAGGATGGCTTTCTTAATGACCCTAATGACACCTGCCATCACTAGGTACCTTTAGCCTGCTGCTTATTTTCTTCAAATCTCTTATCATAATTGATAGTGTGTTACATTTTTAGTTGTAGGCTTTTTGTCCTTATCTCATATATGAATATATAGAATTTTTATAATAACAGATCTGATGACTTTTTTAAAAATCTCTTACAGTATAGCCAAGTATACTGGCACATATCTGTAATCCTAGTACTCAGGAAGTGGAGAAAGAAGGATCAGGAGTTCAAAGTCTCCTCATCTGTACTGTTCACTGCCAAATCTTGTGTACCTGAAACAGTATCTGCAAAGGGAGTTTGAGAACAGCCTGGTCCACACGAGACCCTGACCAAAACCGGGAAGGGAATGGGGGTGGAAGCATAGAGACCAACTTACATTTGATATGCTGTGGTCTATGGATGGAAAGCTGGGGTGATGCATGTTGAGGGACTTTAAAACTATTGGAAAAAATAGACTATCTATTTTACTTTTATTCTTCTCCCCCCACCTCCAGTGCTGCATTGTGCTTCCTAGGCAAGCATGACACTGAGCTCAATCTGTAATACTTTTCATTTCTTTCTCTTTTTTCTGAGACAGGGTCTCCCTGTAGCCCTAGCTAGCCTGGATTCTCTATGTAGATCAGGCTGGCCTCAAACTCACAAAGATCCACCTGCCTCTGCCTCCCCAGTATTGGGATTAAAGGCATGCACCACCACACCTGGGTCAGACTTTTCATTCCTTAATATTCCTGTCAGCATGTGACTAACTGCTCTAATGATGGCCAAGTAACATGATACATATCCTCCATCTAATAGCCTAGTACTTTTTACCAAGTGCTTCATTTTTTTTCTGTAAAGCTAGATTCCTTCAAAAATGGTAAAATTATGCTTCTTTTGATATTCTTCATGTCACAGTAATTCTTTAATAAAATCACAAGTCTATAGACAATGTCTTATTTTTAGTATATTTAATGAGACCATGCCTCAAAATTGAACTTTTTAAAATAAAGCTGGGAATGTAGCTGGGTGATTGAGTGCTTGCCTAGCAGATCCAAGGTCCTAGATTTAATCTCTAGTACCCCTTCCCCACAAAAAAAACTACAACAACAATGAAATAAAACACAACAGCCAGATAAGTAAAAAGTATGCAGTCATGCATAGTATAATTCATATGTAAAGCATGTAGAACTGTATGAATTAGGGGAATTTATTTCATTGCCTTCACATTTTCAAGGTTTCATTTTCACATTTCTTCATTTTTATTATTACATTTCTTTTTTTTGTGGAAGGAGTGGGTGTGGAGGTCAGAGGACAACTCACAGGAGTCAGTTCTCTCCTTTGACCATGTGGATCAGGGATGGAGTCAGGTGGTCAGGCTTGGTGGCAAGGCCTTTATTCACTGAGCCAAATAGCTGACACTACTTTCCTGTTTCTTAAATGGAGAAAATGATAATATGCCTCTCAAAATGATAAGTAATAAATGAAATGGATAAAATGTTTTAAGCTATTAAGCATTACATAAATGTAAAATGTTAATAATGAAGCTTAATGACAACTTCTTGGAATATAATATACATTGTAACTGTCTTGAAACCACACAGAAAAATGGCTGAATTGACCTCTGGAATTTCTAGTCTTGGGACTATCATGTTCATTTGGTGACTTTCTTCTGAGCTAAAAGCTAAAGGACAAAGACCACTAAATTTAAGAAAATCCTACAGTGGCGATGTCCCCAGCATGGTACTGTCATGACAGACTCTAATGCAAGCAAGATAATCTATATTGTTTTTCTGTAAAACACAAAATACTGAAAGTGATGCTTAACTGGGAATTTTGGTGGGTTTTTTTTTCTTTTTTTTTTTTTTTTTGAAGTTTCTAAAGTGTTAGGATGAATCGTATGAACTTCATTTAGGTTATTGTCTGCATTTTTTACCTATTTCATTTCACACATTTTTACATAATGTTTGTGAATATGTATGTGTGCATAATGTCATG